TGCTGATATATCGTTTGGTCGTATTCGCGCACCGTGACGATGAACTGAAAGCAAAAAGCAGCAGCAGCGAATTCGAAGAATGAAACAACAGCTGCAGAATCATACGTTGTCGAATGGAACTTGTTCGACATGTTGTTCAACGATGCCGGGGCAGAGCGCGAATTTGCAAAAGCCGCCACGAAAATCTCGACCAATCGACCCGCTTCCAAGGCTGCCGCATGGAACGCCTGAATACCGTACGCCGTATCGTATTAATTATTATGTGAACAGAAGCCAAAGTATGCAGTTACCGTAAATTGGCTTGAAAAGTAAAGGATGCAGCACATCGATAAAAATTTTTTTGCCTCGAAGACGACACTGGATCCAAGCGAAAACAAATCTGCACAAATCGTTTTGCATAGTAGTTCGCGAAGACGTACCGTTAGCATATACCGCTTACCTGACCAGATACGGTATATATTTGATAATCTGAAGAATGGGCGGCAATATGTACGGCGTCCTAAATCACTAGCAGCAATCAAAAGTCAGTCATAATTGAGCAGTATCTGAAAACTTTTAGTTAGGGTTAGTTAGACAAACAGTGACACAAATCGCAGTCTTATAATTAAGGGATCAACACCATTTTTTGACAATCTTTAAATATACACTGAATTATGAAGTAGTGGATTGCAAAAGAATCGTGAACGCGATTTTTCGATTCCAACATTAAAACCATCGTCATCATCGAATGTTTACAAAACATAACGGCATTATGGAAAACTGCAGGGACGCATTATCAATGCAAAACAGAACAAAACAAAACATATCATCCGCCTAAAATTTGCACCTGAACACTCGAAGTACTGTTTTTCGTATTGATTTAATAAGTTATCGATGCCAACTGTTCGAAGAAAACAGTAAAATGGGAGGACTTGATCAAGTCTTGCAATAAATACAGTGATTCACGATGAATTTTGATACGACGGTTTTGCAAAACTCTGCTGTTGTTACGGCTGTCACAATCTGTGGTTCAGCTGACTCCAGTGACGTCGTGGATCACTGTTTTCACCTCAGTCATCCGCCACCGACTTCAACTAGCCATTGTTTAACCGTTTGAACCCTAACTACCGGCTCAGAGACGACTTCAAAATCATTTCTTATAGTGTTCTCTCACACCTTAACTTTTCCCAGCCTTTCACAGTGACATCCAAGAATCGAAACCGCATTCAAAATAGTGGAGGGTTCCAAACAAACGCATAAGAAATTCAAAGCAATAAGATTAATACAGAAAAGCTCAACAGACATACGTCACTGCTTTCGGTTTACAAGCACTTTGCATAGGCCTTTTGATCATATAAGTCAAGGAGACACTTTTAAGCGGGTCAGGGCTCCATGAAATTATAGCACATGTAACGTATGAACACGAAACAGGATCGTACCGTCCGAATCAATTTTAAATACCAACGACAGAAATTTAATCTACAATTTAATGTTGGCACTGCTATTCAAAAGTAAATCCTTGGATCTAATAACAAACGCATGTTACTACTACATTCGTTAAGAATAACAAATCTTTCATCGGTAAACCAAGTACCGGGAAGTAATCTGGAAACAAACGTGTCTTAATATTTCTAGGAATAGTGGTCTTATTCCGGGTGGAAAAAAAGTTGAGGCGAAACACTAACGCGTGTTGATTACAGAGCGGATCTACTAGAAAAATTCAGAAAGACAACAGGCTATTGCCCATTGTGTAGCGATAGAACGATTATGCATTTGGCAATGAGTTGCGAAGCGGATCCATTACCCCTAAACCAGATATATAATGCCATATCTTCTTGCAATTAGTCATAAAGCATATGATTATGTGCCATAAAACAGATAACGAAAAAGGAATACTAATCGAGTTTATTCGCGATGTGTTCAGTAGTCTGAATTTATCAGATTCCATTTATCTTCGCAGCGCTAACGCAGTTAACAATTTATGAAATAAACTACAATACTAAATTCAAGCCTTGATATTGACATTCATATCTTGTAGAAAATGATGAACCAAAACAGAATTCTAAGAGGAAAACTTCCATGCCACATCTCTTCAAACATTTCCAGATTTTATCAGATATTACGGATATCAGAGAAACATTACGTGCATGATTCAACTATCAGGTCAAAGCAATGTCCTCTTGTGCTGGATCGGTATCATTAAAACAACCACCTAAAGAGAGCTGCCCAAGCTCCACGAAATGAATGGCAGGCTTAGAAAATGAATGAATGCATGATCACATAGTAGCATCAACAACAGAAACAATAAACAGAAACAATATTTTGCATCCCAAAGGGACTAGCAACAGTTTTCCAATAAAATGGATCACTTGAACCGGTCATAAATCAGTGACACACCGAGCCGCCTATAAGATGTCCGTCACTGCTCACAGTTTCGAGCCTTCTCCCTCAAAGTGCGGCTTTCCCGACTCCTGATATGACCTTACCATCGCCGTCGTGGGCGACCAAACGGCTAGGCCCGCCCGTGATCAACGATCATGATCGAGGATCTCCAGTAAGTGAGCTGAGCTACGTGCCCGGCCAACTGCAGTTTCTCGCAGCTGCTCTCGACAACGACGTATCCATCATTTAAGTCAAGAGAGAAGGCACCGTTCAAGACATTCGACCAGATATCTTGCTGACCTGAAGTCATGACAGTGGATGATACAGTCTTTATGAGTAGCACGGAAAGCGCGAACTATCATCTGAAGGCTTCCGTTTCACTACAGCTACGAAAGCCAGACTCTTACACAAAGCCTGGAAGTCAAAAGCTGTCAGGGGTAAGCTTTCGTTATCGTGGTAAAAGCTTGTAGGTCATAGAGGGAAACAGGGCATAGAGCTTTTCTACCGTTCCCATTCCTCCATACTTAAATGATTCTGGAGGAATCCGATCCAATCCGCAGGCCTTCTTCACCTTGAGGTGTAGCAGGCATTTTAGATGTTTAATTCTGTGGGTGAATCTGTATTAATCAATACTGTTAAGAAAAGAATTAACGCCCGTAAATGACGAATCAGAATAGTAACTGTTCAGCAGCTGCTGGAATTGTTCAACCCATCGATTGAGGAGTTCCTTCTGATTCGTAAATGGCACAGCCTTGGCGTAATGCAAGCCTAAGTACCATGCTAACCAGGCAATTACTGCGCCCGTTTCAAAATTGTTCGCCACTCGCTCTTTCTGGTTGCCTTGTCAATGTTTCAGAATTCCCGCTCCAGCCAAAGTTCCCTTCCTGTTTGTAGCTGTGGTTGACACAGTCAATCGGCGATGTGCCATCTTCGAGGGTGCAACAGGGAGTTAAAGGTTCCCCTTCTTTGCTTGATTCCGATGCACTCTAAAAACTAGGGACTAGAGTACGTAATCCATGCAGTTTGGCTAATCTCTTCTTCATCCTAACCACGTTTTTCACCTAGAAAACAACGGCAACTTTGAAGTCTCAAGTAGGCTTTATCGACGCTGTCACTGAGATTTGGTACTAACGGTGGCACTGAAATAACTCTCTACCTCGTTCTAGGCAGACCGCGCTGTTTTGTCATATTTCAGCGTGGCAACGTCGCGCACATGATGTTACAATCAGAAGACGTTGATGTGACACGTCTGGTTTT